ATGGTAATGATATGATGTATATGTTAAATTAATGCTTGGAGATTTTAGTTTATGATATGATTGAAAAACTGTATGATAATATTAATAAAATTTCCTGAAAAAAAGGTATTAAAGAAAACATTGTCAAATTTGCAAATATAAAATGACATATTTTCAAAAAATCATATCATCTCTATTTTTGGTGGTAATGATATGATATATATGTTAAATTGAAGCTTGGAGTTTGTAGTTTATGATATGATATAAAAAGTATATAATAATATTAATAATATTTCCTGAAAAAAAGGTATTAAAGAAACCATTGTCAAATTTTCAGATATAAAATGTCATATTTTCAAAAAATCGTATCATCTCTATTTTTAATGATAATGATATAATGTATATGTTAAATTGAAGCTTGGAGTTTGTAGTTTATGATATGGTATAAAAAGTATATGATAATATTAATAAAATTTCCTGAAAAAAGGTATTAAAGAAAAGATTGTCAAAAGTTTCAAATCTCTAATAATAGTGGAATAAAAATGGAATAGTGGAAACTAAAAAAGTTTTAAAAATAAACAGTTACGTGGGACACCTGTATATAAAACCGCATGGGATAATCCGAAATATCATTAAAAAGAAAATAGACGTGGATGGAGGAATAAGAAAAGATTTATACAACACCATCAGGCATAAGGATCAGATATGATATTTAATTTAATTAAATTAAAGTTTCTTACCATAGCATCTGGCATTAACGCGTTCATAAAATCGGTAGCGATTTTATCTTTGTGTACAGTAAACCAAACCGTTCCTGTGTAAGTATCTCCAGCGTTTAAATAAAGAACCGGCGGACCTCTTCCTTCGTTGCTGGCATTTCGTGCTTCTTGAATCAAATAGGAAGTTCGAGCAAATCCCCCCACTAATCGACCTCCTAATGATTCGCGCGTCTCTTCGAATCGAGCGTGCATATCGTTGTTGTGAAGAATTAAAAATTCAAAATCACCTACATCCCTTTTATGTATTGTGTTTGAAAGCGTTTGATGAATAAATAGTGATGTTAATAAAAATTTTAGCATTCTGAAAAAGAAATTTAATACAAATTAGTTACTAATTAAATTATAATGGGTAGATTAAGTAATGATTTTTTGTTTTATCTAATAATAAAAGATTGGGGATTAAGATAATATACCAAATTTATTTTAAATTTTATAATAAAATTTGTTGCACATCTTCCATTACCTAATTAATATTTGTATCCATCTTGCAAATTAATAAGTATTAAACTTCTTCCTTGGTATTTATTAATATATTATGAGCCAAATTTTGGGCTAAATACCCATCTTCAGCCAAATTTATGACATCTAAATCCAAGATATTTTTACCATTAGTTAATTTTTGACAATAAGTAAGGAATGAACATATTAATTGGGTTTTTGTATAATCTTTTATATGTTGTGTCTATAGATTTGGGTAAAGATGGGTATTTAGCTCAAATCTAGCCCCATATATATTAATAAATAACAAAGAAGAGGTTTTTGTCGTTTTATTAATCTTCCATTAAGACCCCAACACCACATTTTCTTCAAATTTCTCTAAAATTTATTGCAGAATATCTTGTAAATTATAATTTTTAACATAAATCATTTTCCAATTTGTCATTATAAAGATTATTTATACCAATACAATTTCAGTATGGTATTGATCCACATTTAATCTAAAATTCATTTGTAATTATTAAACTTTGTAAAAAAGTAATAAAAATAGGATTACATCGTTATAATCCAACAAATCGTTACCAACTCATTCATTTATAGGTTCGATTAACTGCTTTAGAACTCATAGTTTCTTCAGAATACCATTAATTATTATGCAAAGCATTTTAATTTGTTATAAACAATCTTGAAACAACATAACCTAACTCCCCCAACTTTAATTTCACGTTGAAAATAACTTCCAAACTAAAAAAGTGTTTAATTAATCGCTGAGAAGCTATAATAAGTCATAAAACGAGCTGATTTAAGTTACTTATTACGAAATAAACGGTAAACTATACAAGAAGTCATTATAACCTCTAAACCTTGAATGACATAAACATCGGACTAAAAAATTGTCAAATTTCAGAGGTGCCAACCTACAATATTTTTCAAACCACTTTTAATTAAATTAAACGTAGGATATATTTAAACACCTACTAAAATAGGATTTATTTATATCATTATGTTACTACTTTTAATTGAAATGAACGCATCATAAAAAACTTTGATTATTGGTTTGTAACAATTTTTAGATTTCTATTTTACCGGCGGGTTATTTTACTTTTAAAGGTTTTAAAATTGAAAAATTAAGAATTGCAATAAAATTGGGGCTAAACCTCAACTAAGGATTGATTTTCCAATTTTAAAGTTTAATTTAAAGTGAAACAAGTAAAATTGCATTCGAGAAATTAATTTATTACTAAAAACAGCTCCCATACAAGTTTTTGCCAAGTCTACAGGTGTTAAGATGCAATAATTTAGTAATAAACTTATAGTATACCTAATCGCCATAATTACACAAGATTAGTCATAAAAGGAAGAAATGTTGATATGATAATATTAATAAAATTTCCTGAAAAAGGTATTAAAGAAAACACTGTCAAATTTGCAAATATAAAATGACTCATATTTTCAAAAAATCATATCATCTCTATTTTTAATGGTAATGATATGATGTATATGTTAAATTAAAGCATGAAGATTCTAGTTTATGATGTGATATAAAAATTGTATGATAATATTAATAAAATTTCCTGAAAAAAGGTATTAAAGAAAACATTGTCAAATTTGCAAATATAGAATGACATATTTTCAAAAAATCATATCATCTCTATTTTTAGTGGTAATGATATGATATATATGTTAAATTGAAGCTTGGAGTTTGTAGTTTATAATATGATATAAAAAGTATATGATAATATTAATAATATTTCCTGAAAAAAGGTATTAAAGAAAACATTGTCAAATTTGCAAATATAAAATGAAGTCATATTTTAAAAAAATCATATCATCTCTATTTTTAATGGTGATGATATGATGTATATGTTAAATTAAAGCATGAAGATTCTAGTTTATCATGTGATATAAAAACTGTATGATAATATTAATAAAATTTCCTGAAAAAAGGTATTAAAGAAAACACTGTCAAATTTACAAATATAAAATGACGTAAAATTTTCAACAAATCATATCATCTCTATTTTTAACGGTAATGATATGATGTATATGTTAAAGTAAAGCATGAAGATTCTAGTTTATCATGTGATATAAAAACTGTATGATAATATTAATAAAATTTCCTGAAAAAAGGTATTAAAGAAAACACTGTCAAATTTACAAATATAAAATGACGTAAAATTTTCAACAAATCATATCATCTCTATTTTTAACGGTAATGATATGATGTATATGTTAAAGTAAAGCATGAAGATTCTAGTTTATCATGTGATATAAAAACTGTATGATAATGTTAATAAAATTTCCTGAAAAAAGGTGTTAAAGAAAACATTGTCAAATTTGCAAATATAAAATGACATATTTTCAAGAAATCATATCATCTCTATTTTTAATGGTAATGATATAATGTATATGTTAAATTAAAGCATGAAGATTCTAGTTAATGATGTTATATAAAAACTGTATGATAATATTAATAAAATTTCCTGAAAAAAGGTATTGAAGAAAACATTGTCAAATTTGCAAATATAAAATGACGTTATATTTTCAAAAAATCATATCATCTCTATTTTTAATGGTGATGATATGATGTATATGTTAAATTAAAGCATGAAGGTTCTAGTTTATGATGTAATATAAAAACTGTATGATAATATTAATAAAATTTCCTGAAAAAAGGTATTAAAGAAAACACTGTCAAATTTTCAGATATAAAATGTCATATTTTCAAAAAATCGTATCATCTCTATTTTTAATGGTAATGATATAATGTATATGTTAAATTAAAGCATGAAGATTCTAGTTTATGATGTGATATAAAAACTGTATGATAATATTAATAAAATTTCCTGAAAAAAGGTATTAAAGAAAAAATTGTCAAATTTGCAAATATAATATGACGTAAAATTTTCAAAAAAAATCATATCATCTCTATTTTTAATGCTAATGATATGATGTATCATCTGAAGTATCGATGTATCGTCTGAAGACGCACGGCTAAACCCGAAACTTTCTAGTTCTAGGTCTAAAACTAGAACGAAAACTAGAAACATTCGGGTTTAGTCGTGAAAAAAACTTTCAGTTGTTAATGTCAACTTTAATTTTATTATTATATTCGTAATCTTCATAAAATAACCTTTAAAGTGACTCCAAACTTGACCCATTTATCTCATAAAACCAAAAAGTTTGAACTTTCAACTTTTAATTTTGACATATTTGTCAACTTCGTAAAAAATCCTTTAAAATGAGTCCAAACTCGACATATTTAACTTTAATATTAATGGAGATACAATCACTTCCGGTTTGAAACGTCAATTTTGACATATTTGTCATCTTAAAAAACGTTAAATCCGAAGTTAGCAACAATGAAGATAGCAATTTAATTTTTAAATATTAATACCAACCTTAATTTTTTATTATATTTTTGTTATTGTTACAAATTTTAACACATTTTATAAAAATTAAGAATATTTCAAAATGACATTGACATTTCAAACCGGAAGTTGTTTATATCTCGAATAATATTGGAATTAAACGCATCATGTTTGGACTCATTTTAAAGGATTTTTCACGACGATTACAAATATGTCAAAATTGATATTCTCAACCGGAAGTTGACCGGAAGTTGAGATGATATGATTTTTTGAAAATTCTACGTCATTTTATATTTGCAAATTTGACAATGTTTTCTTTAATACCTCTTTTCAGGAAATTTTATTAATATTATCATATACTTTTTATATCATATCATAAACTACAAACTCCAAGCTTCAATTTAACATATATATCATATCATTACCACCAAAAATAGAGATGATATGATTTTTTGAAAATATGTCATTTTATATTTGCAAATTTGACAATGTTTTCTTTAATACCTTTTTTCAGGAAATTTTATTAATATTATCATATAGTTTTTATATCATATCATAAACTACAATCTCCAAGCTTCAATTTAACATATATATCATATCATTACCACCAAAAATAGAGATGATATGATTTTTTGAAAATATGTCATTTTATATTTGCAAATTTGACAATGTTTTCTTTAATACCTTTTTTCAGGAAATTTTATTAATATTATCATACAGTTTTTATATAACATCATAAACTAGAATCTTCATGCTTTAATTTAACATATACATCATATCATTATCATTAAAAATAGAGATATGATTTTTTTAAAATATGATGTCATTTTATATTTGCAAATTTGATACTGTTTTCTCTAAAACCTTTTTTCAGGAAATTTTATTAATATTATCATATACTTTATATATCATATCATAAGCTACAAACTCCAAGCTTCAATTTAACATATAAATCATATCATTACCACCAAAAATAGAGATGATATGATTTTTTGAAAATATGTCATTTTATATTTGCAAATTTGACAATGTTTTCTTTAATGCCTTTTTTCAGGAAATTCTATTAATATTAACATACAGTTTTTATATCACATCATAAACTAGAATCTTCATGCTTTAATTTAACATATACATCATATCATTATCATTAAAAATAGAGATGATATGATTTTTTTAAAATATGACGTCATTTTATATTTGGAAATTTGATAATGTTTTCTTTAAAACCTTTTTTCAGGAAATTATATTAATATTATCATATACTTTTTATATCTTATCATAAACTACAAACTCCAAGCTTCAATTTAACATATATATCATATCATTACCACCAAAAATAGAGATGATATGATTTTTTGAAAATTTGACGTTATTTTATATTTGCAAATTTGACACTGTTTTCTTTAATACCTTTTTTCAGGAAATTTTATTAATGTTATCATACAATTTTTATATCACATCATAAACTAGAATCTTCATGTTTTAATTTAACATATACGTCATATCATTATCATTACAAATAGAGATGATATGATTTTTTTAAAATATGACGTCATTTTATATTTGCAAATTTGACAATGTTTTCTTTAAAACCTTTTTTCAGGAAATTTTATTAATATTATCATACAGTTTTTATATCACATTATAAACTAGAATCTTCATGCTTTAATTTAACATATACATCATATCATTATCATTAAAAATAGAGATGATATGATTTTTTTAAAATATGACGTCATTTTATATTTGGAAATTTGATAATGTTTTTTTTAAAACCTTTTTTCAGGAAATTTTATTAATATTATCATATAGTTTTTATATCATATCATAAACTACAATCTTCATGCTTTAAGCTAACATATACATCATGTCATTAAAAATAGAGATGATATGATTTTTTGAAAATTTGAAGTTATTTTATATTTGCAAATTTGACAGTGTTTTCTTTAATATCTTTTTTCAGGAAATTTTATTAATATTATCATACAGTTTTTATATCACATCATAAACTAAAATCTTCATGCTTTAATTTAACATATACATCATATCATTATCATTAAAAATAGAAATGATATGATTTTTTGAAAATATGACGTCATTTTATATTTGCAAATTTGACAATGTTTTCTTTAATACCTTTCAGGAAATTTTATTAATATTATCATACAGTTTTTATATCAGATCATAAACTAGAATCTTCATGCTTTAATTTAACATATACATCATATCATTATCATTAAAAATAGAGATGATATGATTTTTTTTAAATATGACGTCATTTTATATTTGCAAATTTGATAATGTTTTCTTTAAAACCTTTTTTCAGGAAATGTTATTAATTTTATCATATACTTTTTATATCACATCATAAACTAGAATCTTCATGCTTTACTTTAACATATACATCATATAATTACCACAAAAAATAGAGATGAAATGATTTTTTGAAAATATGTCATTTTATATTTGCAAATTTGACAGTGTTTTCTTTAATACCTTTTTTCAGTAAATTTTATTAATATTATAATACAGTTTTTATATCATATCATAAACTAGGATCTCCAAGCTTCGATTTAACATATACATTATATCATTACCATTAAAGATAGAGATATGATTTTTTGAAAATTTTACGTCATTTTATATTTGCAAATTTTACAGTGTTTTCTTTAATACCTTTTTTCAGGAAATTTTATTAATATTATCATACAGTTTTTATATCACATCATAAACTAGAATCTTCATGCTTTAAGTTAACATACACATCATATCATTATCATTAAAAATAGAGATGATATGATTTTTTGAAAATATTTCATTTTATATTTGCAAATTTGACAATGTTTTCTTTAATACCTTTCTTCAGGAAATTTTATTAATATTATCATATACTTTTTATATCATATCATAAAGTACAATCTCCAAGCTTCAATTTAACATATATATCATATTATTACCATTAGAAATAGAGATGATATGATTTTTTGAAAATATAATGAAGGTAAATGTGTCATGTTTGTACTCATTTTAAAGGATTTTTAATGAAGATTGCAAATATGTCAAAATTGAGGTTGACATTTTCACTTGAAGTTAGTTATCATATAATAGACTAAAATGATTCTTGAATTTTTCCCAAGTTTCTTAATATTAAAAAATAATAATATAAAATATAATAAATAATAATTAATCAAACTCATCATTTTGACTCTAGTATTTGTGATTAAATTTATGTCACAACTTACAGAAACACAACATTTTCAAATTGGTTCAATTGAAGCGCCATCTAACATCGTTTGTCTTGAATTATGGTGTGATAGAGCCCTGTAATGCACTTACGGCCAAAAACGGTGCTCCTATCCTAGTTTGTATTTAAAAAATGTTTGGGCACACCTTTATAGTTTCATAATAACACCCAAATTTGCCCATCCACATATTTGATATTAAATAATAAGTGTAATAATCTTTGACATTGCAACCGGAATTTATTAGTAACTTTCGAATTAACGTATTTATATTTCATTGAGAGATAAGATAAATTAGGCTAATAATAAAAAATGAAATGATGCAATCTTGATGATTATAAACATTTAATTTTCCTGACGTCGTCGGCATAAACCTCATATGAACGATTCTATCATCGCATTCCGGTCGAATTTTACCCTGCGATAGTAAATAATTTTTAGTCGCTACCAAATCGGTGACACCTTCCAAGACAAAACTAAGCGAAGCACTCCTTATAACAGTATGTCCATCGCCTCCATTCGCCAAAAAAACAGTCGTGACAATTCTATAGTACTCGTTATAAACGATCGGTGAATAACTCGGTGTTTTACAATTTCCACAACGACACGAAACACTCAAAACCCTCGAATAAGGGGGCCGATGAAAATCATAAATCACTTTTAAACCGGAAACCATTAAAAATTCTCCACGTTTCGTCTCACCATTATATCTAGCCCCAACTTCTAAAGTATGTTTCAAATCTCGTCCATCCAAAACGACGGTTATTAAAGGTTCATGAAACGGTAAAGCCTCCAACAAATCTTTTTGGGTAATTTTATGATCCCGTTTTGTAGTATTAATCGATTTACGAATCGATCCCGCGTTAAAAATCGCAATTGGAGTATCGGTCCAATATTTTCCTTTGTATTTCGTCGCTTTGTAATGAATTAACGCATCCGCTATCATATTTCCAATATTACACTCGCGTTCGCGACATTTCGAAGCACTTAAATAAACGGGAACTTCGCCTAAAATATCGTTATCGTTACCTTTACCTTCATAACTTGCGGTAAAATTGAGTAAAATTTTATCTGCAACTCCGGATCTTGGGATAATTGCGTCGAGTAACATGGGATTCCCCTTGTAATCGATTAAATCGCCGTCGATGTCGAATTTTAAATCGATTTTTCCTATGTATCGGGTTTTGGAGAATCCTTCGAGAATTGGGATGATTTTTCCTTTATCGTTTTGGATTATTAAGGGGTACGTTGATGATGGATTATCTTCTAAGAGTTTGTTGGGATTATCGTTCCATAAAAATAGACTTGAATCGCCTCCGATTAAAACGTCGACGCAATCGGCTTCTTTTGCTATGGATAAATCCGTTTCGAGATTCGCATTTCCTAAAGCGATTATAATTTTAACGTTTTTTTCGGTTAATTTTTTGCATTCGCTTTTAACCGATTCTAATTCATCTTTAAATTCTAAATCTCCAACGGGGTATTTCGTCGCTGTGTCTTTTCCGGTGTACCCAATTAAACCAATTTCGACGTTTGAGATGTTTAAAATCATGGAGGGTTTCACCTTCTTTTCGAAAATTGAACCCACTTTTGGGACGATGTTGCATGATACGATTGGGAAATCGATGTCTTGTAAAAATTGCTCTAAATTGTTTAACCCGTCGACGAATTCTTGGCTTCCTAACGTCTTAAAAGTAATTTGTTTAAAACGAATTCGTTGGGAAATAATAAATACTTACGATGGCGTCTGGTTCTAAGATTTTTAACATTTTTGAAACGATTTTCCACCCATGAACGTGATAAAGGTAAGTTCCTCCGAACGTATTTCCCGCGTTTAAAAAGAGGACGTTGTTTTTATCGTTTTTTCGAGCCATTTTCAGTATCTTTTCTAGCCGAGAAAATCCCCCGATCATTTTATTCATTTTATAATCGAACGTTTCTTCGAAATGCGAATACATATCGGTGTTGTGATACAGTGTTAATCGAAAATGAGAGGCTCCTTTCGATGATTTAATTAATAACATTAATAAGAAAAGAAGAAATTTCATGTTTTGACATTGACAATGAATTAATAAAATGACGTCAAATTTTCAAAACATCATATCATCTCTATCTTTGGTGGTAATGATATGATATATATGTTGAATTGAAGCTTGGAGATTGTAGTTTATGATATGATATAAAAACTATATGATAATATTAATAAAATTTACTGAAAAAAGGTATTAAAGAAAACATTGTCAAATTTGTAAATATAAAATGACATATTTTCAAAAAACCATATCATCTCTATTTTTGGTAGTAATGATATGATATATATGTTGAATTGAAGCTTGGAGATTGTAGTTTATGATATGATATAGAAACTATATGATAATATTAATAAAATTTCCTGAAAAAAGGTATTAAAGAAAACATTATCAAATTTGCAAATATAAAATGACATATTTTCAAAAAATCATATCATCTCTATCTTTGGTGGTAATGATATGATATATATGTTAAATTGAAGCCTGGAGTTTGTAGTTTATGATATGATATAAAAACTATATGATAATATTAATAAAATTTACTGAAAAAAGGTATTAAAGAAAACATTGTCAAATTTGCAAATATAAAATGACATATTTTCAAAAAATCATATCATCTCTATTTTTGGTGGTAATGATATGATATATATGTTAAATTGAAGCTTGGAGATTATAGTTTATGATATGATATAAAAACTATATGATAATATTAATAACATTTCCTGAAAAAAGGTATTAAAGAAAACGTTGTCAAATTTGCAAATATAAAATAACGTCAAATTTTCAAAAAATCATATCATCTCTATTTTTGGTGGTAATGATATGATATATATGTTAAACTGAAGCTTGGAGATTGTAGTTTATGATATGATATAGAAACTGTATGATAATATTAATAACATTTCCTGAAAAAAGGTATCAAAGAAAACATTGCCAAATTCGCAAATATAAAATAACGTCAAATTTTCAAAAAATCATATCATCTCTATTTTTGGTGGTAATGATATGATATATATGTTAAATTGAAGCTTGGAGATTGTAGTTTATGATATAATATAAAAACTATATGATAATATTAATAAAATTTCCTGAAAAAAGGTATTAAAGAAAACATTGTCAAATTTGCAAATATAAAATGACATATTTTCAAAAAATCATATCATCTCTATTTTTGGTGGTAATGATATGATATATATGTTAAATTGAAGCTTGGAGATTGTAGTTTATGATATGATATAAAAACTATATGATAATATTAATAAAATTTCCTGAAAAAAGGTATTAAAGAAAACATTGTCAAATTTGCAAATATAAAATGACATATTTTCAAAAAATCATATCATCTCTATTTTTGGTGATAATGATATGATATATATGTTAAATTGAAGCTTGGAGATTGTAGTTTATGATATGAAATAAAAACTATATGATAATATTAATAGAATTTCCTGAAAAAAGGTATTAAAGAAAACATTGTCAAATTTGCAAATATAAAATGACATATTTTCAAAAAATCATATCATCTCTATTTTTGGTGGTAATTATATGATATATATGTTAAATTGAAGCTTGGAGATTGTAGTTTATGATATGATATAAAAACTATATGATAATATTAATAAAATTTTCTAAAAAAAGGTATTGAAGAAAACATTGTCAAATTTGTAAATATAAAATAACGTCAAATTTTCAAAAAATCATATCTCTATTTTTAATGGTAATAATATGATATAGTATATGTTAAATTGAAACTTTGAGATTGTAGTTTATGATATGATATAAAAACTGTATGATAATATTAATAAAATTTCCTGAAAAAAGTTATTAAAGAGAACATTGTCAAATTTGCAAATATAAAATGACATATTTTGAAAAAATTATATCATCTCTATTTTTGGTGGTAATGATGTGATATATATGTTAAATTGAAGCTTGGAGATTGTAGTTTATGATATGATATAAAAACTATATGATAATATTAATAACATTTCCTGAAAAAAGGTATTAAAGAAAACATTGTCAAATTTGCAAGTATAAAATTACGTCAAATTTTCAAAAAATCATATCTCTATTTTTAATTTTAATAATATGATATAGTATATGTTAAATTGAAGCTTGGAGATTGTAGTTTATGATATGGTATAAAAACTATATGATAATATTAATAGAATTTACTGAAAAACGGTATTGAAGAAAACATTGTCAAATTTGCAAATATAAAATAACGTCAAATTTTCAAAAAATGATATCTCTATTTTTAATGGTTATAATATGATACAGTATATGTTAAATTGAAGCTTAGAGATTGTAGTTTATGATATGATATAAAAACTATTTGATAATATTAATAATATTTCCTGAAAACAGGTATTAAAGAAAACATTGTCAAATTTGCAAATATAAAATAACGTCAAATTTTCAAAAAATTATATCTCTATTTTTAATGGTTATAATATGATACAGTATATGTTAAATTGAAGCTTGGAGATTATAGTTTATGATATGATATAAAAACTATATGATAATATTAATAAAATTTACTGAAAAAAGGTATTAAAGAAAACATTGTCAAATTTGCAAATATAAAATGAAATATTTTCAAAAAATCATATCATCTCTATTTTTGGTGGTAATGATATGATATATATGTTAAATTGAAGCTTGGAGATTATAGTTTATGATATGATATAAAAACTATATGATAATATTAATAAAATTTACTGAAAAAAGGTATTAAAGAAAACATTGTCAAATTTGCAAATATAAAATGAAATATTTTCAAAAAATCATATCATCTCTATTTTTGGTGGTAATGATATGATATATATGTTAAATTGAAGCTTGGAGATTATAGTTTATGATATGATATAAAAACTATATGATAATATTAATAAAATTTACTGAAAAAAGGTATTAAAGAAAACATTGTCAAATTTGCAAATATAAAATGAAATATTTTCAAAAAATCATATCATCTCTATTTTTGGTGGTAATGATATGATATATATGTTAAATTGAAGCTTGGAGATTATAGTTTATGATATGATATAAAAACTATATGATAATATTAATAAAATTTCCTGAAAAAAGGTATTAAAGAAAACATTGTCAAATTTGCAAATATAAAATAACGTCAAATTTTCAAAAAATCATATCTCTATTTTTAATGGTAATAATATGATATAGTATATGTTAAATTGAAGCTTGGAGATTGTAGTTTATGATATGATATAAAAACTATATGATAATATTAATAAAATTTCCTGAAAGAAGGTATTAAAGTGAACATTGTCAAATTTGCAAATATAAAATAACGTCAAATTTTCAAAAATCATATCTCTATTTTTAATGGTAATAATATGGTATAGTATATGTTAACTTGAAGCTTGGATATTGTAGTTTATGATATGATATAAAAACTATATGATAATATTAATAAAATTTCCTAAAAAAAGGTATTAAAGAAAACATTGTCAAATTTGCAAATATAAAATGACATATTTTCGAAAAAATCATATCATCTCTATTTTTGGTGGTAATGATATGATATATATGTTGAATTGAAGCTTGGAGATTGTAGTTTATGATATGATATAAAAACTATATGATAATATTAATAACATTTCCTGAAAAAAAGTATTAAAGAAAACATTGTCAAATTTGCAAATATAAAATAACGTCAAATTTTCAAAAAATCATATCTCTATTTTTGGTGGTAATTATATGATATATATGTTGAATTGAAGCTTGGAGATTTTAGTTTATGATGTGATATAAAAACTGTATGATAATATTAATAAAATTTCCTGAAAAAAGGTATTAAAGAAAACATTGTCAAATTTGCAAATATAAAATAACGTCAAATTTTCAAAAAATCATATCTCTATTTTTAATGGTAATAATATGATATAGTATATGTTAAATTGAAGCTTGGAGATTGTAGTTTATGATATGATATAAAAACTATATGATAATATTAATAAAATTTCCTGAAAAAAGGTATTAAAGAAAACATTGTCAAATTTGCAAATATAAAATAACGTCAAATTTTCAAAAAATCATATCTCTATTTTTAATGATAATAATATGATATAGTATATGTTAAATTGAAGCTTGGAGATTGTAGTTTATGATATGATATAAAAACGATATGACAATATTAATAAAATTTAATACATGTCGATGTTGTGATGCAGTGTTAATCGAAAATGAGAGGCTCCTTTCGATGATTTAATTAATAACATTAATAAGAAAAGAAGAAATTTCATGTTTTGACATTGACAATGAATTATTAATGTTTTGATTATTAAAAAAGAAATTACACGTTAAATATTATGCAATATGACTTCGTAGCAAAAAAATAACGACCACGTAAGACATTCTTATGTTTAAGTATTTTGCAAAAACGATTAAAAATCGTACGAAATTACGTAATCACACAAAACTTATCGTGATATTACAGATTTGCGCAATTCCTCGTTTTCCATTGTAATAGGAACATAAATTTTCTGTTTTTTTTTCACTTAGTTCGATTAATAACGAATTTTATTAAGAAAGATAAAATTTAAATTAGACCTAACTAAAAACGGCCAAATAAATAGAATAACGCGAGAGGAAAATGCGGCACGCGAATTTAGCGACACGAATACAATCTATAAATAAATAATAAATGTTGTTTTGGTCATATTTTAATTGAAGGTTAAACTTACTTTTGTCTGTTGGTTTTGTTGCGAACCAAATTTGAAATCCGGACACTAAACTTAATTGATTAAAATTTGATTGATTAAATTTAATTTGGGGCGTCGAAATAAACTGTTAAGTTTAATAAGAAACGATTTTACAATAACATTTTCTATTTAGTTTTAAAAGATGAAGTTAATTTTGTTAAAGCGGCCTCGACCGAGGTTCTCGACGTACTAACTCTGTAATCGCCAGCAGAGAACGTTATAAACGGTAAAATTCGTTTCACAATTTAAACCGATTTCTTGTTCACTACTTAAAGTGATCACCCAGCTTGGCGATTCCATAAAACGATTTGAGTTATTCAAGATGAGAATAAATTTGCTTCAACAGGTTGCAGGAACACTCCTAAATTTATTCTATGGAGCAGCACAAAAAAGTTATTTACAACCTTGAAA